TTCCAGACGATTTAAAGGCTTCTACGATGGTAAGATGCTCCTTTTCCTCTTCTTTCTGGTTATTGGCTTGCTGTGATTATCTCTTCCTTTCGTTTTTTTTTCTGTTTTCTATTTTTTGTTCTCTGTCTCTCTGTGGCTGTCTGTTCTTCTTTTCTTTCGCAGGTATGGTGGCTTTTATAGCCACCACGAGGTTCTGTTTGGACCGGTCCCGAGAGGGATGTCTAGGTGAGTCACCATAGCTATGCTGGTGACTCACCATGGAGCTCGATTTGGGCTGCCATCTGGTGTTCTGGAATCTACGGCGGCGAGGTGGCGTGGCAAAAGCAGCGTCGGCAGCGACTGGTTGGACCATCTGGCAGTGGAGGCGTCGGCAGCAGCGTCTGGAAGCTGGAGAGGCAGCTTGAGCCTTCTGGAAGCGGCGGCTGGGAGCTAGGGCTTGAAAACCCTAGCTGAAACCCTAAATTGGTTTAGGGTTTCCATCTGGTCTGGGCCGGTTCTAGGTCACTGTTGGGCTTCAAATTGTAAATGGGCTCGGGGATCTTGTAAAATGGGTTTGTAATATTTATTTTTTATTTAATAATAATAATATAATAAATTAATAATTAATAATAATAAAATGAACTGAAAAATTATTGTCTACAACCACCGCGTAAGAAACAGACGTTACACATCTCCGAAGCATGTCTATCCAAGTCTCCGTAAAACCCATTTTCAACATTATCACCCAAATGAAATTACATTCCACTATATCGTAAGTCTTGCTCATATCAAGCTTGAGTGCAAAGTAGCCTTTCCTACCTTCCCTCTTCCTAGTAACAGTGTGTAAAATTCCGTATGCCACAATGATGTTGTCTGTGATCAAGCGTCCCGGAATAAAAGCACTATGTGACTCATCAATACAAAGGTCTAAATTTTTTTGCATACGTCTAACAACTCATTGAGAATTTGTTTCAAGTTAAACCTCGAGTCTTGTATATTCAAACTAAATATTAACCAAAATTTGAACGTTTCAAATCATTTACGATCTGTTTAATCTCATTTACTACTCTAAGTGAAGGTCACATAGTCAATTAGAGCCTGTAAACCCAAACCTACATGGTCCATTTGGGCCCATGTGTGAATCCAATCGGAATACATAGCATAGGTCTTCAGTCAAGAATTATGTGTAGGCGCTAGCGCTTTCCGCCACTTTCCATTCTGAAAAGAAAAGTCTGGAATCGCCTGGAATTTTCACTTTCTGTATATAAAGGGAACTCCGCTAAGTTCTCCGGAATCTCTTCTTTAAGTTGTCTGCAAGAAATTCTAAGGTACGCACAAAGAAACCATGGCTAAAGACGGACCTAACTGGGATGGGTTGCTGAAATGGAGCATTGCTAACTCTGATGGAACTCGTCCTCCTCGTAATTTAAGGTAATCCATCTGTTTTTTTCCGTGATTACCCTTTTTTCTGATCGTTAATTGATTATTAAGTGGGTAATTACTAATTATTTGCTTATTTTCTTTATGCAGCGAGGTAGATAGAAAATGGTTTATGGAAGCAATGCAATCGCAGACCGTTGATGTGATTCAGCGGATGAAAGAGATAACTTTGGTTATGAAAACTCCAGAGCAAGAATTGGAAGCACAAGGTGTTACGGCTGCTGATATTGATGGTATTTTTGCAGAATATCTAAGTTGTTTTTTAAATTGTTTCTGGGTTGCAAGAGCAGCTTTGTTTACGTATTTGATGGTGGCAGATATGTTGGATGAATTGCAAGAGCATGTTGAGTCTATTGACATGGCCAATGGTAAGTTTTCTTTATCATGGCGTGCTTAATTTGAGGCAATATATCTCTAATGTTTGCTATCTAGCTATAATTTTCGCCTGCTCGTATTATCTTCGGCAACAGATGCATAATTTTATGTTTGGGGGTAAACTTATGAAATTTTAAGGGCTAAAATGGATTATTAATAGAAAATTCAAAGAGAATACCTAAATTATATAAGAATTTGAAGCTTTCAGGGATTGACAGTCCCCCCCATCCCTGATTATATTGTATGCAAGGAGAATCTTTTTTGTGTGTTTCATGGAATTAGTGATTCCTAAGGATGTTATCTATGATTTAATTTATATTTCCATTTTAACAACCTTGTCCTTTCCGTTTCTGGCCCTATTCCTTCTAAAATTAATCTTGCACTTCTAATGCTTTCGATTGATCCAAAAATATATATATGCTTATATGGTCTGTTTGCGTTCGACGCAGATCTTCACTCAATTGGTGGGTTTGTCCCTCTCCTTGGTTATTTGAAGAATTCGCGTGCCAATGTTCGAGCTAAAGCTGCAGAAGTTGTATCTACCATTGTACAGAACAATCCCCGGAGTCAACAGTTGGTTATGGAAGCAAATGGCTTAGAGCCTCTTCTTTCCAATTTTTCCTCCGACCCTGATGTAACTGTTCGAACCAAAGCACTTTATGCGATATCCTGTGGGTACAATTATTGCTCTATTGTATACTTCTCATTCAGTGAACATGCTCGTACAGAATCTTTGAAAATATCTTGACATGACTTCCTTTTTCGTTGGATTTCAGCCTTGATTCGCCATAACAAACCCGGTATTGCAGCATTTCGACTTGCAAATGGTTATGCAGCCTTGAGAGATGCTTTGGGAACAGAGAATGTAAGATTTCAAAGGTAATCTTTTGATATGTCTTTGCAGTCCAAGCCCGCATTATCTTTCTGTTGATATTAGGTTTTATGGTTTCATTCCATGAGTCTCCATTGTGAAACTAAATGATTTTTAGATATCAAGTAGTTTCCTACAGTTCGATGTTCGTGTTTGTATTATTTTATCTGGTTAGTATCTGGACATCTAGTTTTATCATTTAATTGCTTTTTTCTTACAGGAAAGCTTTGAACTTGATTCAATACCTACTGCACGAAAATCAATCAGATTGCAATGTCGTAAGTGAGTTAGGGTTTCCCCGTATAATGTTGCATCTTGCCAATAGTGAGGACGCAGAAGTGAGAGAAGCTTCCCTCCGTGGTCTCCTTGAGCTTGCCCGGGACAAGACAGGCGGGAATAATGGTGGTCTAGGTGAAGACGATGAGAAGCTGAAGCAAATTCTTGAAGAGCAAATTAAGGGTATCAGCTTGATGTCTGCCGAAGACCTAGGTGCTGCAAGGGAGGAGAGGCAGCTTGTGGACTCCCTTTGGAGTGCATGTTATAAGGAGCCTTCTTCCCTTAGAGACAAGGGAGTTTTAGCACTTCCTGGTGAAGACGACCCCCCACCTGATGTTGCCAGCCAGCATTTTGAGCCTCCACTCAGAGGTTGGGCACGTAATACTGATTCGAATTCCAGTGTGAAAAAGCAAGATGCTCCTCTTTTATTGGGACCAAGCCCTCCAAACTTATAGCTAGTGATCATATCTTGGTAAAATTAGCACTAATATGTTTATTTTGGCCTGTTTTTCAGTGTTTTTTCCTTTGAATACATGATTGCCTCCGGGATTAGATTAATCGGCACCCACTCGATGTTATGCTTAATTTGTAACCCGCATACGTTTTCGTCAAGCATGAGTATTGCTATAGTAGTAGTGACTGATTGTGGACCACCTAGTACTTGATCTGGCTTGGAGTGAGGAGGGTAGTAGTTCACTCAGTAACCTTTGCAGCCATAGCCGAGCTTCCTTCTCCATTCCCACGATGAAGGAAAATCATTCCAAAAGCTCTGTTCCTAGTTTACGTATTGCATTTGGTTAAAGTCATCTGATTACTCTTATAAAAGAAAAAAATAAAAAAAAATCAATCATCTGAATACATACTGTAGACCTTTTGGTGACTAAAGCTCTAGCGTCCTATAGTGAGAAGTTGTGAACCAGAAGTGTATCCGACCAGTTCAGTATCTGTTCTTCGGCAACGGCATGACTGTTGACTTGAACATCGTCCGGTGGCAATCACAGGCTTGTTTTTTTCTTCTAGCTGAAGCTGAAAAGGCTCACCTTCAATTTCCGCAACACTTGCTTTGTAATATCACGGGATATCTGCAGAAGATCGATCGATTGCTACTGTCAAGCGCACAAATGATTTCATCGTCATACTCGAAAAATTCTTAATTGTTTAGCCCAATCTTATGTAGATTCAGCTTGAGAGCAATGCCATATCACTACAAGAAATATACGAACAAGACACACCAACTTTGATTAATTGAACCGATTGAACCGTCACAATTATCGGTTATAATTATAAATTTTGATAAATGATTAATTATTGGTTAATCGTTAATAAATTATAATTATTTTTTTAGAAATAATAGAAGTAAAAGTAAAATCAAGAACTTTTTTATCTTTTTAATTTTGTTTATTTCGTAGCATATTAAATTAAATATAGATAGAGAACAAGAAAATTTTCAAGTGGGTCAATTTGTATTATTATTACGATATTAATTTAATTATCATTAAAGAGTTAAATTATAAAATTATCATTTTGAGAACTAAAATATAATTTGTTTCTTATATTAATTTAAAATTGATAAGTTAAATTGAAATTTGTTTAAAATTTAGGGGTTATTAATATTTCTAGAAGTCTAAGAATGAAATTAAAGATTAAATTATTTTCCTAATATGTTATGTCATTAATTTAATAATCTCTTTCAATGATTGAAATGCTTATAACATTTATTAAATGTATATTTTTCAAATTAAGTGAAAAATAACGTAAATAATTAAAAATTATATATATATATATATATATATATATATATATATATATATATATAAATCTAGTGATTAAAAATTATAAATTTATAAAATAAAAAAAATGAACATTCTGATAGTTTATTAACATCAAATCATGATTGTAAAATATATTAGTGTAATATTTTAAAAACATTATAAATTTTATACGACAAATTCACATTCGTCATAATTATTGTGAAAGTTCGCAACATCTATAAATCGTAACACCAGTACACGACGTCGGTAACGAAAACCACTGTCCACAATTGTAGTTTAATACTATGTTACAAAGTTTCTAAGGTAGCCTCAACCTTTGCCATCTGGGTGTGTGCTTTGCCCTCCATTTTTCTCTTCATGGAGTTCCTCAAATAGTCCCCATATTTCACCTTCTTATAAATCTGCTGCTCTGTTTTCTGGTCGATCATGTGATTCAGGGGCTCGATCTCAACCTTATCGTGCGGGAACAGGAATGACGCGTAAGAGATTCTTGCCCTGTTATCATTTGCAACAGCTCTGTGTTCGATACTCTTGTACTTGCCGTTGCTCCACATCTGACAAACAAAGAGAATCAAGGCTCAAAATTCGACCATCAACACCTATGGAGACATTTTTTTCTTATACCTCAATGACGTCGCCGACGTTCACGACTAGAGCGTATGGGAACGGATTAACCGGCACCCACTCGTTGTCATGCTTAATCTGTAATCCGCACACACCATCGTCCTGCATGAGTATGGTTATGGTGCTCGAGTCTGAATGTGGACTAACACCTAGTACTTGGTCTGGCTTAGAGCAAGGAGGGTAGTAGTTCACTCGGTATACTTGGATTAGCTGTTTGTGCAGTCCAAGTAAAGCTTCCTTTTCCATTCCCATGATCAGAGAAAATGATTCCATCAGCTCCGTTCCGAATTTTCGTATCACATTCGAATATTCTTCTATGATTTCCCTGTATGAAAGTTCATTTCAATTAGAGGTGACTTAGGCCAAAACTTTAGTTTCCTATAATGAGAAGGGTGAACCGCAAGCATCAGTGCATCCGACCAGTCCAGTATCTGCTCTTCCAAAACGACATATCCGTGTCCATACCCTTGTATGTCGTCCGATGGCATCGCGTACTTGTTCTTCTAGTCTAGCGGAAGCTCAAAAAATTCGGCTGCAACACCCTTCATCTTCTGCAACACTTCCTTTGCAACTCCATGATTTACCACCTGTTAAAAATCACACTGTTTCATTGTTCACCTTGTGCATATTCGTACATAAATAATATTACAGTACCTGGAAGAAACCCCAATCTTGGCAAGCAAGATCTAGTTTGTTTAGCTCCTCCTCGTTCCCCAACAACAGCAATGAAAAATCAATGAGGGGAATAAGTGAAGAAAGATGTGACAAATCAGTATCTTTTGGTCTATCTTTTAGGTCCCTAACGTATCTTTGTGGAACTTGTGAAGGATCCTCCCTCATCAGCTCTTGAACATTAGGGACTGGAATCGATGGAGCATAGGTGGGTGCCTCTTCATTCCCGGTAAATGCTTCATTTGAACTCATTGCTTACTTTGCTTAAGCTTTGTGGAGATCATGGCACATGTTCTTCCCCTATTTAGTGCTTATCCGTTTTTTAACTGTTAGTTGCAGCGGATATTACCCCTCCCTGAAAGAAAGATTCCTACTAAAAAAATAGAAAAAAAAATAGTGTATTTTATATAAAAAAAATGTTCTCACCAATCACCGGTTGGTCTAGTGGGATGAGATACTAGAACCCATAAGTAATGTCGTGGGTTCGAATCTGACGATTGTGAATGGAGTAAATTGGGTTGAGAGAGTCGCCCTCGCCTCGGCATTACCTAATCCAGATTAATCGATCAAATATATTGGATACTAGTGGTTATAAGAAAATGGTCTCAATCATATGGGAACATAGATGGATGGGATGGGATATTGGCTTAATAGGATTAGTGGCATATGCAGTTGGATCTCTTTGATAAAACAATGACTGTGTGTCTGAAATTACCAGACAAAAGTTTACCATTTCAGTAGTTCACATCGAATCAAATTTGGTATTTTTTCTTTTGAAATTTTCTTTTGGGACGGCAGAGGAGAATTCTTTATGGTCAAGACACTAAAACTTTGAACAATTATATTTAAATATTACTCTATTTTTCTTTTTTATTAAAATAGCATTTCCCTTAATAATACTCTTTTCGTTCATGTAAGATGAAGGGGTATCCTTCGAAAGGCATACCGTACTATTTCCGACATGGCAGGCCATCCAACAGTTGTTTCCATGCTCCTCAAGGTCAGTATGAAGAAAATAAAGAATAAAGTGATGATTGTGTTAGAATTAAGACCAAATTGATAAAATATATCAGCAATTAGGACTGAAGATGATATTATATCAATTAAAACTGTAACTTCGGTGATGAAATTGAAAAACATTTGGCAGGAACTATTTAGGCGACAATTTTTCTTTATTTGATTGTTGAATAAGGGAGATTCTGTTAACAACAATTGCAGTGAGCAAAGCATTGCAGAAATGAACAGAAACTAAAGCAAAGAGGGTTTACAAACATAAACAAAGGGACAAATAGTTTATATTTTTGTTTGCTTAGGCTAGAGTTCCAACCTTTGCCATGTTGATATGTGCTTTGCCCTCCATTTTTCTCTTCATGGAGCTCCTCAAATACTCTCCATATTTCACTTTCTTGTAAATCTGCTGTTTTGTTTTCGGGTTGATCATGTGATCGAGGAGCTCAATCTCGACCTCATTGTGCGGAATCAGGAATGTTGCATAAGAGATTCTTGCCTTATTATAATTTGCAACAGCTCTATGCTCAATACTCTTGTACTTGCCATTACTCCATATCTGATGAACAATGTAAAAATATCAAGTCAGCTCAAATTTTGTCTTTGTTTACAGTCAACAATGGGAACATATTTAGTTACCTCAACGACATCGCTGACGATCACTACTAGAGAATTTGGGATCGGATTAACCGGCACCCACTCGTTGCTGTGCTTAATATGTAATCCACACACGTCGTTGTCCTGCATGAGTATGGTTATAGTGCTATTGTCGGAATGTGGACTAGCACCTAGTACTTGGTCTGGTTTGGAGCGAGGAGGATAGTAGTTCACTCGGTAACAATGCACCAATTGTTTTTGCAGTCCAATCAGAGCTTCCTTGTCTATTCTCATTATCAGAGAAAGGGATTGAAAGAGCTCCGTTGCCACTTTCTGGATTGCATTTGAATATTCTTCTATGATTTCGCTGTATGGAAGTATATTTCAGTTAACATGGAGCAAATATGAAGGAAAAAAAGTGAAGTTCTTTGGTCAGGTCATATGAATCCATACTGGAGGCCTCTTGCTGACTTAGGCCAAAACTTGAGCTGCCTATAATGAGAAGAGTGCACAAGTATCAGTGCATCCGACCAGTCCAGTATCTGCTCTTCGTACACGACATATGCGTGCCCGTAGCCTTGTATGTCGTCTGGTGGCATCGCATACTTGTTCTTCTCTTCTAGTGGAAGCTCGAAAAACTCAGCTGCAGCATCTTTCAGTTTCTGCAACACTTCCTTTGCAACTCCATGATTTACCACCTGCAAAGTCTCAATCAATCGTAGCTCTCAAAGGCACATTATTCATTGTTCCTTGTTTGCCTTGATTCCTTCACGAACTAACTCAGTACCTGGAAAAAACCCCATTCTTGGCAAGCCAAATCTAGTTTGTTTAGCTCCTCCTTATTCCCCATTAACATCAATGACAAATCAATGAGGGGAATAAGTGAAGAAAGTTGTGACATATCTGTATCTTTGGGTCATCTTCCAGTTCCCTAACATACCTTTGTGGAACTTGCAAAGGATCCTCCTTCACCAGCTCTTGAACATTAGGCACCGGAATCGATCAAGCTTAAGTGGGCGCCACTTCATTCTCCGTAAATGTTTCATCTGAACTCATGTTTTTCCTGTGTTTAAACTGTTGTGGGAACCATGGCACATGTTCTTCCTATATATAACACTTCATGCTTCTATCAGATAAAGACAGGAGGGATGAACTGTTTCATCCAGGTTAGACTTAGGAAATATTGACAGACAATTAGGATACCTTGTTATAATCGCAATGACTTCACATGTTTGAGTTTCCAACAACTTTTGGGATACATCATCCCATAAATGTCAACGGTTGTTTTCTATTCTTCTTCTCGAAGTAAACGGATCATAGTTTATGTTCAAGTTGCAGTTCTTTCCATGTTCTTTGCTGTACCCTCCATATTTCTCTCCAAGTGGAAAAAATGAGTATAAGATATACACATGTTGCACATAGAGAAAACTTATATTTCCATCCATATAGTTACTGATAGACCTTCATACCCCTAAAATGAAGAGAAGTTAACTGATCCATCTAGTTAAAAACTAATAACCACTGATAGAAATCCTAAGAAACGATCTATATGCAGTGGTATCGACTTTCTGATGCCGCAATGGCACCGAACTTGTTATTTCTTTGCCATTTCTCATTTAGGAGGGCAGAAAGTGATAACATAAAGTGAAGCTCTGCATTTGTTGAGGCTACTAGATTCATCAAAAGCGTAGCTAAAGGCCTTCGGAAAGGGATAACATAACGTGAAGCTCTGCATTAGTTTTTAGATTCGGAACTTATGATGATTGGTTTATCTTTTAGAGGATGTTGTGAAGTAGCTACTGAAAAGCTGCATAGAATTCAGGGTTTAACGCATTCCTCCTCGGGTGTTAGAGGTAAAATCTTACTTGTTTATTGTTTCAATATGCATTAGACATCTCAGAGCCTTCCACTAAGGTGCCCGTTATAGAAGCTCGAATAAGCTGAGTGCTGTAGATCATCCTGTACCTGTTCGATTGTGGAAATCATTTATGCATTGACGAATAAACACGAAAAACCTCGGAGCCGCTGTAAAAATCGTTTCACCACCTCCACATGCTGTGTGAGGAATGTGTTAGAATATTAGTTTGCTTATAATATCCTTGGCAATAAATTACATTCAATAGAAGAGAAGCATATGGTATAGAAACTTGTTAAAAGTTATATGCTTTCAAAAATTAGATTTACAGTCAAAACTTAGAATTTGCAGCTTGAAAACAGATGAACTGAAATATTTCATATGATACCCAAAAAGTGTTACAGAGTTAAGATATTGGAGTAGATAATGTGTTTTCGCTTTTAATACAACAAAAATGTCTTTACTTGCTCCCAATTAAGCAATGCTTGCCTCCATGAATTGAATCTTTACAGAGGAATATCAAGACCCTTGCCAACATCCACCCCAATCATCTGAAGTATTCCTTTGTTTAGTATCTGCAAAACCCAAAAACCCTCACAATTAGAGCACCAGCCAACACCATAATTCTATTGCCAATAGGTAGAAACCTCACCAGTTCTACAACGAAAACACCAATTATGCCGATCATACAGGCCGTGGAATTCCTTATTTCAGCTTCCTCGTAAACCCCAGAAATGGTGCTTTGAATTTTGCTCTACCTTTGGCACTCAAACCTGAAACATTGGTTTTTTGAACAGATACAAAATTGGTAAGAACAAAAACCCAGCAATATTTGAACCTATAAGATAAAAAAAGATGAAACAATTAGAAGAAAGAAAGTACCCCAGCAGGAAGCTTGGCAGCTAGGACCTTGAAGGGTTCTCGGTTCATGAAGCTTGTACTGTGATGATACTGCTGGCTGTGGGGTTGAACTGTTAAGTTATTTGGGATAAGAAATGATGAGGAAATGAGTGAAGAAGTAGCCATTGTTTTCAGTCTGCCAAAGCCAAAGCCAAAAGCCATCGTGTGGTTTATCTGTGCTTTTATCCTTGGTTTTCAGAACCGGACATGTTAACGAACCGGTTATGCTACCGATTTACTAGTTCAATCGGTCGAATCGGTTCGACCGATTGAAAGAACCGGACGACGTCATAATTATTTAAAAATTAAATAAAAATACCAAAAATATTTAATAAAAAAATAATTTTTTATATCACAAGTCATATTCAAAGCAAGTCATAACATATATAAGTTAAAAACCATAAAATCAAGTGAAACAAAATGATTTAAATTAACTACAACATAATATTTAAGGTAAAACATATTAAATAATAAATATAATTATATAACTATAATTAAAAAATAAATTTGAGGTTAAAAAAAATAATAACAAAATGATATTGTTTGGTTTAATTTTTTTTTTAAAAACAATCACACATGGCTAAGAAACATAGAAGAGTATCCCAAAAGTCTAAAGAGTAAAAATATGATAACAAAACAATCTCACATTGCTAAAAAACATAGAAGCGCATCACAACTAACTTCTATAAATAATAGAGGTAATTTGGCATTCAAAATCATGGAGCCTTTTAGTGAGCATTGAGTGAACTATTCTTACACTTCAATCAAGCTCGAATTTTAGGCTTCAATCGAGCTTCTAATTTTTTTTTGAGTTCAAGCCTTTTTGAGTTCAAGTTTTAATATTATATTTCGAGTTTGAGTTGAACTTGATAATTTTTAGCTTGTGAGTTTGAGTTGAGTTTACTTTTAAAGTTTTCAAGTTCGAGTCGAGCTCAGCAATACTCGAGTTCGACTTGACTCGTTTAACAAACGACGTTGTTTGGTTTAATTTTAAAAAAAAAACAAAAATTTCGGTTTTTCCCGGTTTTCAGCTGATCCGGTTCGAACAGTTCAGCGATTCTGGCCAGTTCACTAATAGCGGTTCAATCGGTTTAGATTGAACCGGATTAAACAACGATTTTCGATTGAACCGACCGATCCGATCCAATTTTCAAAACAAAACTTTTATCTACTTTAAGCTTAAAAGACAGTGGGTCCCCCAAGACTAGAGCTTGTGTTTGTACCCTAGTAATAGTATTATTTATTTCTATTTATGTTTTCAATTTTAATTTCAAAAAAAACCCCTTCATATATGGATTATACTAAATTCTTGATTTCATACATATAGTTTAAAAGTTCTCGATTTAATACATAATTTTAATGTCGTTAACAGGTTCACTCACTTCCATCACGGAAAGTAACGTGAAATCTTCCGACCATTAATAAAATGACACATGGCAATTTAAAAAAAATATTTTCTTAGGTAAGTTACACCATTCATCACTTAAGTATATTCTCATTTTTATTTTAGTCACTAAAATTTTAAAACAAAAACCAATTCCAAGAAAAAAATACATGGTTTTCTCTTCAACTGTTGCCCCTTCCCTTGTCGTTGTTCGACCTTCTTCTAGCCGATCGTGGCGTTTAACACCACCCTTGGAGCTTTGCCATCGTTCCACGACCTTAACCCGACCATCAGTTACCCCCATCCGGACGTCGTTCATCTGAAAATTGTGAAGAATCGTACAGGTCTCACCATCATCGATCTCGGCCACCGTTGAATGGTGAACGTCACCGCCTTTACCCGTGGAAGCTCCTCCCTCGTCTGATCATAACCCATCGACCCACTCACTGAGACTCGTTGTTGTTTGCCGTAGAGAATGATTAGAAGGTTCATCGAAAAACTTCTCATTGTCACTAATTTTTTGCGATTGTCAGTTAAATCGATCGATGTTACATCTCACCACCCCTCCCATTGAGTTATTCGATCAGGACCCAACCAGTGGATCGTGTCACTGTTGTTATTTTTGTCGTTATCGACATTGGGTAAGCTTCAAAGCAGGTTTTGAAGTGTTGTTTGTTTTAGGGCGATTTAGGGTCATCATTAGTAGGACTAGTCGACGATCAAAGTAACCGGTGACGTTGGTGAGCACATAAGCCTTTGATTGTGAGAAAGAAGGGGGAGACGATCGTTTCTCTGGTTTAGGGATAGTATAGCTTAATAATAAAATTAAAAGAATTTAAACTTTAATGACTAAAATAAGAGTAAGAAGATAGTTTAGTGATAAATGGTGTAATTTACCTAAAAATTAAAAAATACATGTTTTTTAAAGTGCCACGTGTCATGGTCGTAGGATTTCACGTCACTTTCATTGACGGAAGTGGGTGAAATCATTGACGACAAAAAACCTCATGTATGCAATCGAGAATCTTTAAACTATATGTATGAAATCAAGAATTTGATATAGTTCATGTAAGAATGGGGTATTTAACCCATTTCAAAATAATGAAAATTTAATTTAAACTAAATTGTGATTGACTAAGTAAAATTAATAATTTTAAACTTATAATTAATTAATTTATATTATATTTGAGACTAATTTATTATTATTAATCAAAATTTAAACTTTTTTGGAATTAATTACTAATATCTGATCTATTGACTGAATAATCAAGAATTAATTACTAATTTATTATTATTAATCAAAATTTAAAATTTAAATTAATAACGCTTTATGTATTTTTGGTGTTTTTAATTCTTCATTATTTTTCTTTTAATCGTTGTGTTCAAACCTAAGATCTCTCAAGATAATAATAATTCTTTTAAGAGTTAATTGCATCATATGTCCTCAAAATATGATATATATTTCAAATTAAACCCTAAACTTTTAAATATTTCAATTTCATCCCTAGATTGAAATTATTTGTAATGTGTACTTCTTGATCATGGACTACTGGAGAATTATAGCACCAGATTGATTCTTGTGTGAATTTAACAAGTAAATGAAATGGCAGATCTAAAGTCTAGACATACTTGCAGTCACAGCAATCAATCACACTATTAATTTGATAGCTGTAGAAGGATTAAATGCATGTAATTCTGAAGCAAAAACACGATAAGTATACAACATTATTCCTGTTATCACATAGGCCAGACCATGGCTTTTCGTCTTCGACTGTGAAAAAACCATTTCCAGGATATCTCTATTCTTCTTCTCTCTTCCTTTTATTCCCACTAGATTCACGATCATCATCAACACTAGAACTTGGCAATGGCATCCCGAACAGTGAAAGATCAGCTTGGAAATCATTGATATCAATCCTCTCCGTCAACAAAACAGTCACAGGACTTGACGGGTAGTAATGGGACTCTGAAACTTTCAAGTTGCAGAATGGATGAAACAGCCATGCTTTGATTATCCTACGACATTCCATAATATCATCCTGCCCCACTTCGAATATTTTAGTTATATAATCAATGCAAAAGTAGTAAACTATAATATATATATATATATATATATATATATATATATTACCTCGTGATCTTGGCTTATGAGCTTCATAATTTTGGTGATATAGACATTATATGACGAAGGAATTAACTCTCCTAGGTTACACCGTAGAGCAGATACTGCAACAACGCTGGGTGGATATGGCAGCAACTTGAAATCTGCGCACAAGTTAACATTACAAGATAATGCATTGTTTTTATCGGTCCGGATTAATATTTGTTCGGAATTTTTCTTAGATAGAAACAAAAAGAGGAATATATATATACATGCATATACCCAATATAGCTTTGACAAGTGTCTTATTAACTAGGTTGATTAACTCATTGTGAAGGTAATGATTGAGATCATGGATGATATTTATTGTAATCAGCTCTATATAGGAGTATGTTGTTGTAGAACCAAGACGCCACTTTAAAGCCTGCAACACCATCAGCTCCATTTGTTGGATTGTGCTCGATTGAAAACAATGTTCTAAGTCCTGCATCTTCAATCCAAATATTCTTCATAAAAACAGTGATAAATATAATGCAATAGTAATCATAATCATCTGACAATGGTAAATTGTGTTCACCTGAAGTTCATCCAAGGAAGCGAGGGAAGTCTCATTGAACTTGGAGGCAATGGATAAACATGCAATGGATAGTAACTCAACCATCCAGTTTTTCCATCCCTAGAAAAAGTAGATGATTTGATGCTTCAAAGTTGAGAAGGAAAAAAAAATGAAACCCAGAATTAAATTGCTCCTTACAGGGCACTGACTCGTTGATATGAAGCGATCCAGGTAATTTACCGCATTGAAAACTGTTCCAGTGGAGAGATTTAACCGAGTACCAGTCTGAAAAAAACATACAACCATAGAAAACAGACTGATATTTGATATAAAATAATAAAACCCTCTTCAAATCTGATAACTAGGAGAAAATATGTACCTTGATAAGCCATTGAACCGCTCTAAACCTAGAGAAAACCAAATTATTAGACTGGAGATAATCCAGATAACCAGGCTCAGGCATGTAACTGAGCTCTTTCTTCAGGCATATTAAAAGAGCCTGCTCGGAGTCTTCCTTCAAAGTACAACGGTCAGTTTCATGGCTAGGGTCCGGAGTTTCAGGACCCGAAAGCCATACCTCATCACAAAGCAAATTCTCCATTACGGAGATAGTTTTATAATTCTTCAATGATAATGACAATTGGGGAGGCTGCTGGTCTGACATGGTAGTCACCTTTGTACTGTACATGCCATTATGACACTACAAAACTAAAGAGAAAAAAAGCAAAAGATCATGGAGGGTTAAAAGGATTTAGCAGTTTAGAGGAGTTATAAGCAAAGGGGTTGTGGGGGTAGTTGGACGGAGAAATGGGGGAGACATAAAAGGGAGGAGACGTCCCTCATGAAGTGGGGTAAATGCTGGTGCGATATTTTTTTACTGTGCACTATCCAATTGCGTGAACGCACGAGGATGGTTGAGCTCGTTTCATTAATGTCCAGTCCCCCTTGACATTGGGAAAGAAACACTGTCGCTCTTTTATAATTATAATCAAGGCGTAATATCAAAATTAGTCCTCAATATTTACTCGAATGATTATTTCAGTTATATCATTTTTTAATAGTTTAACCTTTAACGTTTCAATTTTTAGTCAAAATAGTTCATATTGAATGAAAACAATTAATTGACTAACAATCATCATATGTTGGCATGCTAATGTGATATTTCACACGTGATAAATTACTGATGTGTCATATCTCACGTCACCAAAATGATGATGTAGTATGTATCATGTCAAATAATTACGTACATGTAAAAAATGTTATGTCAGTAATATGAATTGATCGTTAGTCAATTAAGATTGAGTTATTTTAACAAAAAATTGAAACGTTCCAAAAAAAAATGAACGAAAATGACTATTATAATAAATGTTGGGGCCTAATTTTAATATTATACCCATAATCAAAGTAGTTTAGGTTATGGCACCGAGCTCGGTTCGCCAGTTGTGTTCGTGGGGCCACGTTCCAACTCTCAACTCAATTAACCATAAGGGAGCGGTAACTGCACAATGTGCTGGCAAGTATCAAATGCATGCATGCATTGCCTACTGAATTTATAAGGAATCCTTCAAGTAAAAGATAATAGTCTAAAATGTTATAGAACACTTTGGAAGGTTCTAGAATATTATAGAAAGTTCTAGAACATCATGGAATGTTCGTAAATATGGAAGAAGATTCTAAAATATTAGAATATTCGTAGAAGATTAGAAGTTTAGGAAGAATTTTCCAAACCCCGATTATTTTAGATTTGAGTAGAAAATTCTAATACGTGTAGGATTATTCTAGTTGACAAATATAGACCGTTTGATCAAATTAATTTCTATCGTTCATTGAAGACATGAAAAGTTACATAAAGAAGTCTCGGTCATTTGTCCAAGATAACTATCAATCAAAAGTCTAATACACTTTGTAAAACATTCTTTAAAGTAATAATTTAAATTTGTATTATATTATTGATTATATTAAAATCAATTAATGTATTAAGATGAATTTGATCTTTTGTTTTTTTATCATCTATGTAAATGATTATATAAACATTAATATTGATTCATGCTCATCATCATGCCTTTAACATAGATTTAAATGGTTAAATAATTTATGTTCGTTGATTAAAATATTTTAAATTATGTCAAACTAGGAAAACAAAGAGAAAGTATACATAGGAAGTTTTTAATCATGTCAAACAATTAAATAAAGTAAAAAATATTAATGTTACGTATTACATGAAAATCTTATTATTCAAAAAAGTGTTTATCTCATTAAATCAAATATTAAAAATATTCTATCAACTATAATGTTAAGTACGAACCAACATCAGTGATCAAGAAATTGTTATTACCTTTAAGATTTCGAGTTCTATCTTCATATATGTAGGAAAAACTTATTAAAATTGACCTGTTGATGGATTTATAAAACTTGTTAAAAGGCCCGGAATGAATCATGTTAATTTTCATCTACAATGGGTTCCGGTCAGCTAATCTAAGCCTCGATGGCATCGCACAATTCACTCCCAATGGACTCCCAAAGCTCACCAATGCAACCCACCAACAAAAAGGCCATACCTTCTACCCTCACTCTGTAAACTTCAAGAATTCAATCAAGGGATCTGTTTCTTCCTTCTCTAGCACCTTCGTCTTCGCAATTACTTCCGAATATCCGACTATCAGAGGCCACGGGATCGCATTCGTGATTTCGCCGACCATGGGCCTTCCTGGAGCTCTTCCAAGCCAGTATATTGGCCTCTTCAATGGCTCCAACAACGGCGATGCAAGTAACCACGTTGTTGCTGTAGAACTCGTTGCCATACAGAGTAGAGAGTTTGATGACATCAATGAAAATCACGTTGGGGTTGATAATAATGGCTTAAGGTCTATTGCATCTACTCCAGCAGGATATTACGAGGATGGCAGCCGTCGGCTTAGAAACCTGAGTTTGATTAGTGGGAAAAGGATACAAGTTTGGGTCGAATATCATGGTCTAGAGAAACGAATGGATATAACTTTGGCTCCATTTAAGGTTTCTAAACCCAAGAATCCACTTTTATCTTTGCATCTTGATCTTTCTTCAATCGTTAACGATGAGACGTATGTTGGATTTTCATCCTCAACTGGCTCTATTTTCTCATCTCATTATGTTCTGGGTTGTAGTTTATTTCTTAAGGAGGAAGATGAAGTTTGCTGAAGTTGTTGAAGATTGGGAGCTTGAGTATGGGCCTAGTAGGTTCAAGTTTAAAGATCTTTATATTGATACAAAAGGATTCAAGGACAAGGAGCTATTGTGTGCTGGTGGATTTGGAAGAGTCTATAGAGGAGTTCTTCCAACCGGCAAACTCGAAGTTGCAGTGAAAAGAGTTTACACGAATCGAGACAAGAGATGAAGGAATTCGTCACGGAAATCGTGAGTACGGGCAGTCACCGTCTCCGGAATTTAGTCCAACTCCTCGGAAATTTCCGGCTTAAAGGTGAGCTACTCTAGGTCTACGACCACATGCCTGTTGGAAGTCTGGATAAGTACTTGTATGACCAACCAAAGGTGACCCTTGATTGGGCACAAAGATTCGGAATCATCAAAGGTGTAGCATCAGGATTGTTTTATCTACATGAAGAATGGGAGCAAGTTGTGATTCAGAGAGACGTCAAGGCCAGCAACGTTTTACTTGATAGTGAATTCAATAGAAGATTAGGAGATTTCGGGCTCGCCAGATTATGTGATCATGGAACTGAACCACAAACAACTCATGTTGTGGGCAGTCTTGGCTATATGGCTCCAGAGCACACTCAACCGGGAAAGCGACACCCTGCGTCGATGTGTTTGCTTTCGGGGCATTTCTGCTCGAAGCTGCCTGCGGAAGAAGGCCAATATCTCAGTTTCCAACACAAGATTTCATTTTGGTAATAAATTTTATTAAATATATATTAAATTATACAAATTTATTAAATATATATATAGATTAGAAAACTATATTAAATTATTTGTGTACAAATATATATTAAATTATACAAGAAGGCCAATATATATTAAATTTATTTGTATACAAATTTTATTAAATATATATATAAATTATAAATAATAGAAAACTATATTAAGTTATTTGTGTAAAAATATAATAAATTATAAATTTAATTATAAATTTAATTTCCTAACGGTTAACGTTTATCAAAACTTGTAACTGTAACCTTAACCGATAACCATCATTTTTAGCGGTTTGGTTAACCAAAATCGTTTAATATTAATGGTTCGGATAATTAACCTGTTAAATATAACAGTTATATCGGTTAACGGTTAACGATTTCGGGTTTTTTTGAACACCGCTGAGTATGGGTGTGTGAAAATTCAAACACTATGTTTTTGGCTTAAATACACATTTCCCCCGAAACTATACCCTTTTTATTGAGTTGTCTTTTAAAGTATTTTTGGGACGTTGTGCCCCTGAAATTTAAATCATTGTCTCATTTGCCCTAATCTATTAACTCCATTAAAAAACACGTTGGTAAATTACATATAAAACTCAACTTTAGAAGCAAGTTCATGTTTAGGTTCCCATATTTTTTAACCAAAATTTCCCTAATGTTATGAGAAAACCCACATGCAAAAACAGCAGATGCATCTCCTATCTCCCCCAATCTAACATTAGGCCTTATTTTTCTTTTGGAATTCATGCTTAAACCAACATTTTACACCAAACCCTAATTTCTATCAAACCCTATCAGAAAAATCAAACCTCAAAATCAGCATAAAGATTGGAACCATTATTTGCGGCAAACAAGCAAAACCCAAATCAAATTTCAACTTAAACAACCATTAATTAACATAAAATGATATAAAGAATCGTCACAACTACCATGGATTACTACATATTTAGTAAATTGAAAGTGAAGAAGTGAACCTGGTAAGAAAGCAGCTACTGTTGAATAGCCTCAATTGCTGGATTGCTGAAGTAGGCAACTCAAACATATTAAGAAAAGGAAAGTGAAAGTGTTGGTTTTGGTTTTGGTTTTTTCTTATGAACAAACAAAGCAAAATTTGAAGAAGAAGAAGAAGAATGGGGATTTAACGGGAATTAAGTATCATGTCAGATAAAATTAATAGGAGTTAACTTTAGGGGCCTTACTGAAAATGAACCAAAAGTTTAATGACTGTATTGTAAGTTTTAAAAGTTGGGTGACTAAAATATAAGCACCCTTAAAATTTAGGAACTATTTATATGTTTTACCCTAAAATAAATTATACAATATTTTCACTGAAAAATCGTTGATACGTCGTAAATACTTCCATTTAAATACCTCAAATTACTCATTTTATGATGTTGACTACCGACGCTCCTCTTTATAATTTATACATCTATTAGATACACCTTTAAATAAGTTAGGGTGATTATTCCGCTATTACCGCTTTAATAAATACACCACATTTCATCATTAATAATTAATTATAAAATTGACCTTAAATTATTCCACAAATTTCGGTTTCGGGTCGGGTTGGGTCGGTTTTTTATGTGATGTTCGAGTCGAGTCGAGTTCAGGTTTAGGGTGAAAAATACCCGACTCCACCCGATCAAAAAAAAAATATAATTTTACCTTATATATTTTAGAATAATTACAATAA